TAAAAAGTATGTATCTTTTGTTCTTGTCTTTATTATCAAGTTTGTCAATAGCTTGTTCATTTTCTTCTCCAGTTGCTTCAGAGGTTTGTTTCTTTTTCTCTGAGGTCTTAACTGGCTTATCTGTTTTGTCTAAAAGATAAAGTTATTGTTAAATAAATAATTAATTTAAGTTAATAATAGGAACAAGTAAAGATGAGCATACAAAAAAAGAGAAAAAATACATCTTTACACAATTGTCTCAAGTAAATCACACTACATCTGGAAGGAACCTTTGATCATAAAATTGCTATTGTCATCATAATCATTGCATCTGTGCTGAATATGGCAAAGGATTTGTGGACCAATGATGATGGCAATATCACCTTAGTATGTACTTTTAAGGGATGAAATCCTTCAATGTTCTAAAAATGAATACCACTTCATTAAATACAGTTGTGGAAATTATGTAACAAAATTTAATGACGATCATCTTCAAGAAAGCTGTAACCAGACGTAATACCAGTTTGATTCTTCTGTAAATTAACTTCAATGGGAATGTAAAAGCTGCAGTAACAAAATGCTGGTTCTAAAAAAAAGAGCAAACTACCAAGGGTAACAAGAAAGAAACAAGAACCAAGGTAGCGTACCAGATTTCTTCAGAACTTTTCCTTCCTTTGGTCTATGTTTGGCCCACCAACTGTTATCAAAAACAAGTAATTGTATGAGAATATACATGAAATCAGGTTAAAATACCTGGCTACCTGTATGATTATGCGTATCCTTTAATAATCATATCATTGAACCACATGACAATGAGCGTTATTCCTGAATCTAATTGCCATTCTTTACCCCAAGTTACACTCTCCTATTTCTTGTTCAATCGACCACGTGTGGTATCGAGTTTACTGCGCTGTTGAGGTGAATTAGAGGCACTTACTCATGTCGTTTTCTTTTCCTCGATGTTAGTGGCTTTGGCTCCTCCATGTGATTTATTCTCAAAAAATAATAATGCGAATAACAATCCTACACAGTCATAGATTTGTGTAGAAAAGAACAGATACAACGCAAGAAAGTAGTGTACATCTCCGCCATAATGGATGCGTTAAACTGGGGCCAAGTATACAATTATAAGTTTCACGCAAAGGCCTACGGGTAAAATAATAATCAACATGATGGCTGACTTTTTAAGTTAGGGAGATTTGCGATAACTTAGCAATGGATCGTGAATTTGATGTGATAGGACAATACCGTGCGATTACTGCGAAGCTAAAAAGGCGTTTTCTGAAAAAACCTAATGTCTCTGAGGCAAGTGGTCAGTTTGGTGCTCTTGCAAAGGAGTTGAAACGACAGGACTGTCCACAATATGCTGGTTTCTGTAGTCTTGCCAAGGCGAGATGTGAAAATACGCTGTCTAATGGAACGGGGGAAGTCGAGGCGCTTACTGAAGCTGCACGTCTGTTTTTAGAAGCAGAGAAAAATTCCGTGGAGTTGAGGTGTCCAGCGTTCGAGGAACACTTGACTGAAGCTATACATCTCTTCAATCAGGCTATTAAAACTCACTGTGCCCAGGGTAATTCAGCGCTAGGAGCTTGTTTGTGCCTAGAAATAGGCGATGCCTTGAGACATATGAACCGGCCCCATGAAGCTATGGTCCATTATCAACATGCTGCTGAGTTACAGCATCAGAATCCCATTGATGCCCTGCAGTCAATGACTTTGGTAGCCTCATGTAAAATTGATACAGGCAAGTTAAAAAAAGTATAGTATGGGGGATTGGATATCTTGTAGGACAAGTACACCTCTTTTCCAAAGGCTATGGCCTCAAGAATCATGTTAGACTTTGTGGGAACATATGCTCATTGAATAATTTGTTAAAATGTTTGTAAAAATGGTCAACAAAAAAGGTTTAACAGTTGCTCTCATTTCCTGGAAAATAAAAAATTTATATGTATGCAGGCAAAACTTTACCATCAGTTACACAAGTAACTATTTTGAAAGGTACACTTGAATCTTAAATCCTTTTCATTATTTGCTTAACACAGGTGATTTTGATGGTGCCTTGTCTGTATTAACTGAAATGGCTTACCATGCAGAAGAAAGAGGAACCATGAGCCAACAGGGAAAGTTAAAGGGACCATACCAAGAGATTTTAGCCCACTGTGAGATTGGACGTATTCTTCTGTTAATGTTACTTCAACCAACACCACAGCGAATTCGTCCTCAGCATGCTCAAATACTTGAGAAGTACTCAGAGGATTCAGATCCTGCTGAAAACCCTGTGGATTACATGAATAAAGATCTCTTCCTGTTGCTTCAGTCAGTGGTGATGGTATGTCAGTTGCATGATGTGGATGCTCTTAAAGAACTAGAGAAAGAACTATGGACTTACCTTGATCCTGAGCAACAGCATCTTCTTCATCTAATCACTTTAAAATTGTCAAAGAAAGGAGAATGAAAATGTGGTACTGTTGTCAAGTACAATTTCAGAAATCAGAAAGTTTTTCTCGATATAAATGTCAAAGTATGTGGATATTAAAATGCCTGGATGTCAATAATTAATTGAAATGAACTTAAAAGAACTGTAATGGTCTGGTGAGTAGATACAGTAACACAGGCCACAACTTCTTTTTGGAAAGTAAAATAATCAATTAATTTAATTTACATAGAGAAATATCAAGTACTTTTTTATAAGCAATGAACAGTACTATTGGCTATTGGTTGGCTGGTGTAATAACCCACACAGATTGCTGGAAGAACATGAGAAGGTTTATGGATCACAAGCCAGAGACAAGTGATGAGCAAACTTTCCCAACTCCAATTTTTAAAGGTGCAATAAAGGATAGTATTCTGACCAACTAGGGTGCCTATTGTTTCTCAGTTATTTTATAATTTAAGTTAGTTGGACTCTACTAAGACATCAGCAACATATACATGGAACCCATTGCTGTCATGACAAAATTAACTAAAAAAGGTTGAAGTAACTGTACATTTCTTTGTGTAGCTGGTTCTACAAAATGTTACACTTTTTGTCAACTATTACCAGAGATAAAGGGTACAAGAAAATTATTTCAGAAAGAATACTTTGCATTCATCTCACTGCTAGTTACATGCTTCAGAACCACAATTGTCAGCTTTATGTGCTTTTTTTGTTTGTTTGTGTGCTTTTTCATTTCAAGGGGCTTCACCACAAAGTCAAGAAGCAAAGGAGCTCTGTATCCATTGCAATCTTCGAAAATTTTGATCATGAAAGATTTCCAGCTGTTGCTTCACAATGATATATTTTCAGAAAATAAAATGACAAGAATTTGTGTAAATTTTCAGACTTCACTAAACTTACAACACTCCATTCCCAAGATAAATGTCAACTGCTTAGCCCCTTCATAAAGCTTACAAAGTTTTAATTCCCCACCTACCCAGCTGTAATGTGCATAATTCTGATCCCCTGTACTTTCTCCTAACTGTCAAAGCTTTTTAAGTATTGCGTGGAATGCCCACTTTTCAATGTTTAAGGTACAACTTTTCAAACAAGTATATTCCTTCCGTAACAGCAACAAAATGCCCTCTTGTCTTGAATTAAGTTTTGAATATTTTATCCATAATTTACTCAAATTTTGAAAACTAGGAATATCTCTGAGGGAACACCATCAGATATTCCTCAGTTTTAGCACAAGCATATTCAGTCACAAGATGCATTTAGACCAATTGCGATAAAGCAAAAAAATTTATGGATTATAATAATATACATGGAAAAATTACTCAGTTTTGATTGGTTATAACAAATGCAGTTTTCAGGTAATTCAGTGCAGAAGAGAGTTAATTCAGTGCAGAAGAGGGTTAATTCAGTGCAAAGAAAGAAACAAATCAGACATTCTGATTGGCTAATAATCAAAGAAACTCGCAGATAGCCAATCAAATGCAAGCCTTGGATGTCACAACAAAATTTGAAAATTTGCGAGTGAAACAATGGCCGGCGTTTTAAGTAGGTTTTCTTTCACCACCGCAGCTGAAAAACAGCTTAAACAATGAAAACATTGTAAAAAGCACTGTTTTTTGGTTGTCTGTTTGGAAAAAGTGGCGAGGAAATCGAAAATTACGAGCCGACCCAGCTTAACACTTTGCTCGAGCGATCCAACGCCAAAATTTAAAACAAACATGGTTAAACCTCGGAAACGAAGATTCCATTTCATCGAAAGTGATTCGGACACAGACTGAACAATTCCTTAAACTGTTTAGCCGGACTTTGAACTTTTGGGCACCTTAAAGATGTGAAGATATCATTGCATATTATTGTTTTGATCGTACGCAGTTGTTTTGACCGAATGCAAGGTTTGAATAAACTATTTTTTGCACTTGATGCGCGTGCTTTGCTTATGTTTAATTATGATAGACCATCTTGTATTTTTCCATGTATATTATTAACACGTAATCACATGATTTTTCTCGTGCAATTTGGAATAAACAAGCACTTGTTAATTTTTTCAAAGACCACAAATTGCACTCGCCCTACGGGCTTGTGCAATTTTGTTAGTCATTAAAAAAATTTACTTGTGCTTATTTATTCCAAATTGCACTAAGGCTACATTTTGCAATGAATATCAACAACCTGAGGAAACATTGTGAATAGTTTCAGAGGATAAAGAGTACTAAGTTGCAAACAAGGGACTTTGTTTCTTTAATAACAAGCAACACATTTATTTCTGACATGGACTGCATTTTAAACAACTGGTAAAAGCAATGGACTCATGTCCCACTGAGGAGCAAAATCACAGCAGCATGAAATGAGAACATGCCACTACAAGCGGTTAGATGATAGGGCCATCTCCACAGGAACTATTTAAATTCTCTATACAGTCAAACTAAATCGTTCTCAGCTCTCCAAGTCTGGTAGTTCTGAAATATGAAAACAGTTATTGCTAGGACAAGTTTCTCATGACCACTACTTTGTCCATATACAGTCAATCTACCCTTGAGCAGTCACCCATTTTCCCAGCCTTTTTTTCTTCCTAATTTTTCTCATCACCTTGTGCTTGACAATCTATGGTTACTGTGATGATAAACTCCTTTTCAGCAGCTCATGGAAGTGAAAGATTAAATTTTTTTATCAAGCAAAAGTGGCCCATCCAATTGGATCTCATCGCAATTCAGTAACATGAAGTAACCAGAAGTATGAGTAATCCCCCTGAAAGGAATGGTAATCCATCCCAAGTTAACTTACTCCCTCCAGCATTCCATCAGGCTTCCCTGACAATTTGCCAGTGCCCATTTATACCTCTGAGTGGAGAGAGACACAATAAAAGTCTCATGGCCAAATAACATGACACAATGACCTGGCCGAGGGTCCCAGTAACTTTGAGATCAAATTTCAAAGATTAGAGAAGCAGGTTCTGGCACTGTAACTAGTCCATTTCCTTTCTTTAACTTTTAGTTTTATTGAAGAATTTTCAAACCTCTTGAAGGAAAATTGAACAGCTTTACAGGCCCATTAAGTTACTGGAACCTTCAAGAAACAGCCTCTAGGTCGTAAACCCAGACCTCTTCACCAATCATTAGCTAAGCCACTGCACCGCACCTCCCACCTTGGAGTGAAAGGGTTGAGAAATTTCTTCTGAACAACAAATAATGCTATGAAGAAGGAACAAAAGAATCACCTTCATCGTCACTGTCTTCTGACCCATCTACATCTCCTGGATCAAAGCTCTAAAGAACAACAATGCCAATTAAATGAGTATGTAGCAGAGTGTAAATCTGAAAATGATTCTGAATTCATTTAGTTTTGAGTCACTATACTCTTTGAGTGGTTGCAAAAATATTTCAGCTTGAATGCTTCCTTTTTCCAAAAAAAAAAAAAAAAAACTAATTATAAATCCTTCTAACTTTACCTCTGCACCTGCACCTGCACCATGTCCTCCCATCTTACTCATCATCTGTGAATTGAACCAAACAAAAATATTGAATCTTTTAAATTAAACGACCTCACCATTAACAGCATTTTTCTCTATAATCATACAAAACAAAGCATTTCATGTTGCTGTGGGTCCACAAAGTATTGATAGATCACAGAAGATATCAAAATGTGACACACTGGGCCGTGTGCCTTGA